TAAGCATATTCATTCTTATTAGGCATAATTAAATAAATCCAAGTCATGTAATTTTAACAGTTCATAAAAGCCAAATCTTCGCATTAATTGTATTTCACATAAATCTTACATAATCCAACTTTTATTCATTCCCTACTCTTGATCTTTGTTCGTCTAATTCGTCCTCTCAGATGTTGTGTTCGTCTTTACTTATGAATTGTTTCTCTCTGCTGCATCTTTCGTATCTTCATAAAGTCATTGATGTTGAAAACTTTATTTTAAAATGAGTCGAGAGAGAGGCGTGTAGTAGTGTATATATGAGAAAACCTACAATCATAACCTACTACCATTCCACATGTTTTGACCTAACTTATTGCCCAAGTTAAATATCACAAATTGAGCTCTTTAATATTAAAGCATTTAATATTTCATTATATATATATTTACTTAAATTAAGTTTGACTATTATTCAATTAGGTCCAACTATCTATATGAGAATATAAAACGTTCTTTGATTGTCCCACTTGGACTATATAAGTGTTGAAACCCGATGAATTACTTTAAGCGCGTACTTGTTGTCAAACTTATGATTGTATACATGTATCTGTAAGTTTAAAATAAGACTAGAAATTAATTCAGTCATGGTGGTCATACATCCCTGAGTGACATGATTCCTTCTACGTATCATAAATCTTTTGTAATTCCACTTTACTTTAATATGGAACAAACTATTCGTACCATAACTATAAGTCATCCAACTTTTATGTATATATTATAAAATCAAATGTCCATAATGATGACAATATATTGAAGAACTAAACATAATTAATTGAATTCAATAAGTTTCAAAATCATTAAATTGAGCAATTACATTCAGTACAAGTCAGTACAATAAGGTTCCATTTGTTAAAATAGTTATTTTCACCCCGTTTTGAAGTCTTGTTAAGTTTTCACACCGTCCAATAAAAAGGTAAGTTTTTCACCCCATAAAGTGCGAAAGATATTTTTCGATGAATATGCGACAATTGCGCGATGACATTGTGCGAAAGTTGAAAGTGCGAAGTCATTCACATATCCTTCGCACTTTCTGGGGCGAAAAAAAGTTAAAGTGCGAAGGCATTGTGCGATGAATATGCGCCAGTTATGCAATTGATATGTGATAGTTATGCGATAGTTTTTCGCATAATCTTTGCATATGTGACAGTTATGCGATGAATATGCGACAGTTTTCGCATTACCTTCGCACTTTCCGGGGTGAAAAACTTAGTTTTTTATTGGGCGGTGTGAAAAACTTTATGTATCTTTGTATTGGGGTGAATTTTTTTTTTCCCATTTATATGTCTTGCAATGACTATAGTGGATAACCCTCTAGTTATTGGATCCGCTATCATGCAACAATACTAATATTCTCAAATGATATTCATTGTTTATTTATTTCTTCTTTTAAGACCAAGTATTTCAATTTATTTGTTTCACACCCTTTGAATACTTGCGTTATTTGAAATATAACTGTTAAAATCTACAATATTTACGTAGTAGCTTGGACAAGATGTTAACACCATATTTAGCACCTCCTGACGGTCCCTGTTGTAGCCTATAAATACACATATTCTTTTGGGATTTGGTGACATCGCACGCCTAACATAAGCCTAGGAGTCTTAAGAACCCATTCGAGATACGTTGCACACCAAGACGTTCGGAGATTCCATGTTGGAACATAGATGTCCATATCAAGTAAATCGGGGTGGTCACCATTCAATCGTTCCTTCCATTCTCGCAAGTCGCAACACCAGAAATTAATCATTTTTTTGTTTTTCAAACGAAAAATTCAAAAGACTAATCGAGGCGCCAACATGCAGATAACAATGGAACCAGAACAAAGTCTAGACCAACCTCCTTTATAATAACACATATGACCAAGGGGTACAAACTCCAAACAGGAGACACAAACTACTGCAAAACAAAAACTCCATAAAGGAAAATACAAACTCCATATATAAGACTAAAAGCCAGACACAGTTGGACTAAACAAAATGAAAAAAGAACAACACACTTACTCAACAAATAAAATAAAACATTCCCCAAACCTTTAAACCCTGCAGGAAAAACACAAAGTCGAGTCGAGCAAATCCGTAGCACAAAAACCCGAAAGAGCAGCAAACTGGAACTCTGACCCGAAAACTGCAGCCAAACTCGATATGCCTAAACAGAACTCATGGGGAGGCCATTCTTAGCCAAGATCTGCACTTCGAAGAACTTCAATACCAGAGAGGAGATGAGGATGATCAGAGAATCCCTAAACCGCGCTCCCGAAGGGAACTGCCCCGGCAGCCCAATGCCAAACGAGATCATCTGCCTGAAAAAGGTCACGAACAAGGAGCGGAGAGGATGTCTTCCGGCCAGAGGGTAGCCACTGACCCTCTCCCACCTAAAGACAGCACATGGGGCCGAAAAAAGTATGTCACCTACCTTGGCCATAGCCGGACTAGGGAGGCTTCAGACTGGGGGGTTGCGCCCTACAGTGGGAGAAGAGGGGTGGGGAGGGGCTACTTGAACATGTTCAACGACGAGTACAAAAGAAGAAAGGGGAGAAAATAATAGAAGAGAGAGTAAAGACAAAATAACATTTAGAAAGTTGAATCAATACCAAAAGTTGATCATCAAACGTATAACTCTTTCCCATCGCCACTTTCGATTATTCGTACTCAGCTGCGGACAGAAACTGGAAATAATTAATTCTCAATTTCGCATTGTTAGCAGTTTTCGAATTTGCCATATTTGTCCTAAGGCTCTTATAATTCCAGCTTTGTTTGCTCGTTTGTGACTAATATTATGTCCAAACAAGCTCTTCTCACACTATTGTATAGTTTTAGCATATGCCTTTTCCAAATCAATTGTTGACGCCTACTGCGGAGAAATGAAAGTTTTACCCGACGTGCTTGAACGTCTTCTATCATAAGAGCCGGTCTTAGGGAAACACACCACTCCAAATTGATCCTTTTCAAACTGGCCCTGGCACCTTTGCACAATGGTACAAACTTGAACTCACAACGAAATAAAGAGGGAATTGAGGGATTTCGACAAAATATTGGATCCAGATTAGCCAATACACGAAGGAGAACACGGCACTCAAAAGAGAAAATACTTTCCCAGGAGAGAGTTCTTCCTTATGCATAACTAAGTTTGTGGATACAAATATATCTGTTCAAAACGAGTTTTTATATTAATTGGAGTAAATTTTTTAAAAATACAATATGATTAGTTGCTAGTGGGATTTTAAATTAAACAATATTTTAAAAAATAATTAAAATTAATTTGATCTAAAAGTAGGATCGAGATATAAGTGATGATTAATTAAAATTATGTGAGTGAACAAATAGTAAATTAAAACTGAGATGTATTATAATTATTGACTGATATTATGTAATTATACAGATAATATTAAAAATAGTGGATTTTAGATTAAAGTAGAGTTA